CCGCGACTCACCCCGCGACTCACCCCGCGACCCACCCCGCGACCCACCCGCGACCCACCCCGCGACCCACCCCGCGACCCACCCCGCGACCCACCCCGCGACACACCCCGCGACCCACCCCGCGACCCACCCGGCGACGCACCCGCGACCCGCCCGCGACCCAGCCCGCGACCCACCCCGCGACCCATCTCGCGACCCACCCGCGACCCACCCGCGACCCAACCGCGACCCACCCGCGACCTACCCACATTGGGTGAATGTAAAAATCGGCGCTTGCGGCGGGCTCGGTGTATAGATTGTGAAATTTGTTTGACGCGTGCGGCGGGCTTCTTCAGAGCCTCGCAGACTGCCGACGTCCCCACCGCCCCCTCACTCTTACCCGCATCTGCGGGGTGCTATGGTAGTATTTCCAGAGTGAGGGGGTCGAACGGTTTTTCATGGTCCCTGGGTGCGTCGCTGAAGTGGGGGCCCGTGGTGAGGATTTTGCTGATTGCGTTGTATTTTGTTTGTTGTCGTCGCCCCACCCGCGACGCAACCCGCGTTCCACCCCGCGACCCAGCCCGCGACCCACCCCGCGGCACACCCCGCGACACACCCCGCGACACACCCCGCGACCCGCCCGCGACCCACCCCGCGACCCACCCCGCGACCCGCCCCGCGATCCGCCCGCGACCCGCCCCGCGACTCGCCCCGCGACCCACCCCGCGACCCAACCCGCGACCCATCTCGCGACCCGCCCGCGACCCACCCCGCGACCCATCTCGCGACCCACCCGCGACCCACCCCGCGACCCACCCGCGACCCCGCGACCCACCCGCGACTTACCCACATTGGTTTAACGAAAGTTTCGGCGCTTGCGGCGGGCTCGGTGTATAGATTGTGAAATTTGTTTGACGCCTGCGGCGGGCTTCTCCAGAGCCTCGCAGACTGCCGACGTCCCCACCGCCCCCTCACGCTTACCCGCATCTGCGGGGTGCTATGGTAGTATTACCAGAGTGAGGGGGCGTCGCTGAAGTGGGGACCATTGGTGAGGGTTTTGCTTGTTGCGTTTGTGTTTTGTTTGTTGTCGTCGTTCCATCCGCGACCCAACCCGCGACCCACCCCGCCCCGCGACCCACCCCGCGATCCACTCCGCGACACACTCCGCGACACACCCCGCGACACACCCCGCGACTCGCCCGCGACCAGCCCGTGACCCACCCCGCGACCCACCCGCGGCCCACGAGCCCCACGATGTGAAAAAAAAGGACTTGTTCAAATCCCCCCGCAACGGAGGCCGCCTTGGAATCCGCCACAAAAGGAAATTATTGCGTGACCGCCCACAAGGAATCCCATTGTAACGCGCCGCACAGGAATTCCTTTCTGCGGCGGCCAGGAAGCGTGGAAAGGAAGGAGAAAAGGGAAACATAAGACAACATGTGTTGTGTTTCTCATGCCCCTGGCCTCTCACCACTTTTCCTAGACGCCGCAAAAGGGGTTCTTTTGTGGCGCGCTGCAGTCGGATTCTGCCTTCTGCGCACCGCCCACCCGCCCGCCCTGCTTTTTTCCCCCCCCGCCCGCCCGCCCGCCCGCCCGCCCGCCCCCCCCCCTTTCAAAACAAAAACAAAAAAAGGGGGAGAGAGAGAGGGAGAAAGAGAGAGAGAGAGGAGAGGGAGAGAGCGAGAGAGAGTGAGAGAGAGAGAGAGAGAGAACAAGAAAGAAATAAAGGGAAATATAAAGGGGGATATAGAGAGTGAGAGAGAGAGAGAGAGAACACATAAACGAACAGAGAGAGAGAGAGGGAGAGCGAGAGAGAGAGAGGGAGAGAGAGAGAGAGAGAAGGAGAGAGAGACAGAGACAGCCAGAGAATATATATATATATATACACATTTATATATATGTATATATACATATATATATGAGAGAGAGAGAGAGAGAAAAAAAAAAAGAGAGAGAGAGAGAGAGCGAGAGAGAGAGAACGAGAGAGAGAGAGATAACAAGCAAGTAAAGAGAGAAAGAGAGAGAGAGAGAGAGAATAGAGAGAGAGAGAGGGAGAGAAGAGAGAGAGAGAGAGGGAGAGAAAGAAAGAAAGAAAGAGAGAGAGAGAGAGAGAGCGAGGACAAACACATAAGTAGGGAACTTTTTCAACGCGGGGTCGCCACCCGCAACCCAGCCCGCGACCCGCCCCGCCACCCGCCGTGCGACCCGCCCGCGACGCGCCCCGATACCCGCCCGCGACCCGCCCGCGACCCATCCCGCGACCCACCCGCGACCCGCCTGCGGCCCGCCCGCGACCCGCACCGCGACCCATCCTGCGGCGGGCTCGTTGTATAATTTGTGAAACTTTGACGCTTGCGGCGGGCTTCGCCAGAGCCTCGCGGGCTGCCGACGCCCCCACCGCCCCCTCACGCTTACCGGCATCTGCGGGGGGCTATGGAAGTCTTATCAGAGTGAGGGGGTCGAACCGTTATTCATGGTCCGTGGGGGCGTCGCTGAAGTGACCCGTGGTGAGGATTGTGCAGGTTGCGTTGTTGTTTGTTTGTTGTCTTCTTCCCATCCGCGACCCGCCCCGCGACCCGCCCGTGACGCACCCTGGGTGCGTCGCTGAAGTGGGGGCCCGTGGTGAGGATTTTTTATGTGTTGTTGTTTGCTTGTTGTCGTCGCCCCACCTCGCGACCCACTCCGCGACCAACCCCGCGACGCACCCCGCGACGCACCCCGCGACACACCCTGCGACGCACCTCGCGACCCGCCCGCGACCCACCCCGCGACTCACCCCGCGACTCACCCCGCGACCCACCCCGCGACCCACCCGCGACCCACCCCGCGACCCACCCCGCGACCCACCCCGCGACCCACCCCGCGACACACCCCGCGACCCACCCCGCGACCCACCCGGCGACGCACCCGCGACCCGCCCGCGACCCAGCCCGCGACCCACCCCGCGACCCATCTCGCGACCCACCCGCGACCCACCCGCGACCCAACCGCGACCCACCCGCGACCTACCCACATTGGGTGAATGTAAAAATCGGCGCTTGCGGCGGGCTCGGTGTATAGATTGTGAAATTTGTTTGACGCGTGCGGCGGGCTTCTTCAGAGCCTCGCAGACTGCCGACGTCCCCACCGCCCCCTCACTCTTACCCGCATCTGCGGGGTGCTATGGTAGTATTTCCAGAGTGAGGGGGTCGAACGGTTTTTCATGGTCCCTGGGTGCGTCGCTGAAGTGGGGGCCCGTGGTGAGGATTTTGCTGATTGCGTTGTATTTTGTTTGTTGTCGTCGCCCCACCCGCGACGCAACCCGCGTTCCACCCCGCGACCCAGCCCGCGACCCACCCCGCGGCACACCCCGCGACACACCCCGCGACACACCCCGCGACCCGCCCGCGACCCACCCCGCGACCCACCCCGCGACCCGCCCCGCGATCCGCCCGCGACCCGCCCCGCGACTCGCCCCGCGACCCACCCCGCGACCCAACCCGCGACCCATCTCGCGACCCGCCCGCGACCCACCCCGCGACCCATCTCGCGACCCACCCGCGACCCACCCCGCGACCCACCCGCGACCCCGCGACCCACCCGCGACTTACCCACATTGGTTTAACGAAAGTTTCGGCGCTTGCGGCGGGCTCGGTGTATAGATTGTGAAATTTGTTTGACGCCTGCGGCGGGCTTCTCCAGAGCCTCGCAGACTGCCGACGTCCCCACCGCCCCCTCACGCTTACCCGCATCTGCGGGGTGCTATGGTAGTATTACCAGAGTGAGGGGGTCGAACGGTTATTCATGGTCCGTGGGGGCGTCGCTGAAGTGGGGACCATTGGTGAGGGTTTTGCTTGTTGCGTTTGTGTTTTGTTTGTTGTCGTCGTTCCATCCGCGACCCAACCCGCGACCCACCCCGCCCCGCGACCCACCCCGCGATCCACTCCGCGACACACTCCGCGACACACCCCGCGACACACCCCGCGACTCGCCCGCGACCAGCCCGCGACCCACCCCGCGACCCACCCGACGACCCACCCCGCGACGCACCCGCGACCCACCCGCCACCCACTCCGCGACCCAACCCGCGACCCACCCCGCGACCCATCTCGCGACCCACCCGCGACCCACCCGCGACCCACCCGCGACCCTTTCGCGACCCACCCCACGACCCACCCGCGACCTACCCACATTGGTTTAACGAAAGATTCGGCGCTTGCGGCGGGCTCGTTGTATAATCTGTGAAACTTTGATGCTTGCGGTGGGCTTCTCCAGAGCCTCGCAGATTGCCGACGTTCCCACCGCCCCCATCACTCTTACCCGCATCTGCGGGATGCTATGTTATCATAGCCGGCGCCCTGCCCGCGCGGTGGCGACAGGTTCGCCGCCGCCGCTGTCGTCGTTGTCGTCGTTGTCGTCGTCGTCGTCGTCGTCGTCTCGTCGTCGTCGTCGTCGTCGTCGTTTGCCGTCGGGGGGAAAAGGGGGTCCAGACCCCACCCAACTTATTATCACAGGGGGGAGTGGGCGGGGGATCCAGACCAGGTGGTGATGGGGGGATTTGGTTTTGGGGGGAGGGGCCCCGTAGTTTCCGACCCCCCTTTCAGGATTTTTCAGTGGGGGGTCCCCTGCAGAGACATTGTTCGGGCGGTCAGCGAAGGTGCGTCGCGCTTCCTCAAATATTCCGATACCGCTACCCGTCCCTCGTCGCAGCGGCCGGATTCGCTTCGAGATCATGGTCAAGAAGCGCCCCGGAGGAGGTCCTGAGAGTAGCGGTATCGGTATTTCTGGCTTCCCCGAATTATGTTTCTCCAGATGGCGGCGACTTACGGCCTCGCTTGGTCACGCGGGGTTAGTATTTGATTTTTTGCCGCTCCGTGGTGCCAAGCCGTGTCGCGGTGTCGTTGTGCCGTGGCGCGCCCTCTCTAGAGGCGCTTCGTCGCCCCGAATGTGTCTTGGTTTGGGGGAAGTGCAGTGCCGCGCCGTGCCGTGGTGTCGTACCGTCACGCCGTACCATGGCGCAGCTGTCCCCCCCACCACCCCAGGCGGAAAACATCCTCTTGGTGAGCGAGGAGACGGGCGTCAGGGCCGTGATCGCGGACTTCGGCCTTGCGACGTGGCTCTCTGACAGTGTCCAGGCGGGCCGGGGCCGCAGCGTCGCCACGGCAGTCACAAGGTGGGTGGAGGGGGGGGGGGCGGGGTGCGACATACGGGGATCGTTCCTCCTCTTTCCTCACCCCTCTCTGATCCGCACGCGTGGATCACGGTATCGCGATTCGGACACCTCGGCCGTGATGCACGCGTGCGGATGCCTCGCTCCGAACGGACCATCAATGGGATGCCGTATCGACGGGATCACGCCTCGGAATCCAGAGCGCGAGGGCATGGACATGGACATGCTGGTCGCTCGTGGCCTCCGCCTCGTCGCGCCACTCCTTGTTTTCAGGCGAGTTCTTCCTTTTCCCGGCGCCGGGCCCCGTACGCACGCAGCCGGAAACGCTTTTTTTCTTTCGACGATTTCCGACGCACGTAAACCGCGCGAAGATAGCGTGATACATTTTTCAGACGCTTCCGCAAGTCGCTTCGAAAGGATGGCAGAGTCTCAGAGTGTCCACTGAGGGTGGCAGGGGCGTGGAGGAGGAGGGGGGACCAGGCGAGCGAGACGAGGGCGGGGGCAGTTGGACGAGGAGGAGGAAGATGAGGACAGCATAGGGGCGTCGGCAGGAGTGAGAGCAGTTTTCGGCTCCAGGCTGTCGTTCCCCAGGAAGGACTTGCTCTTGCTCCGCCTCCTGCTCCTGCTCCTGCTCCTGTTCCACTTCCACGTCTTGTTCATCCTCCACCTCCCCTCCAACTCCTGCTCCTGTTCCGCCTCCCCGACCACTTCCTCCTCCTCATCAGAGAGAACGTAAATTGCGCACGAGCGTTGCTGCAGACTGTGAGGCAGCACGGCGCTCCGCGGCATCCCAAATTTCGGCCTTCGGAGCCACGTTCGCGGTAGACTGCCCGTGCAGAGGCGATGGCAATGGCTCGGGAGGAGCATGGTCCCGAACTCCGGGACCCCCTGGACCTGGTTCCGTCGGGGGTGGAGGGTGAGGAGAAGGGGAGGTTGATGTCACCCGGGAGGAGGAGTAGGAGGAGAAGGATCATACAGGGCTAATGAAGAACAGGCAATTTGTAGTTACTTCGCGTACGTGGGGTACACTGTGCAGATGGGCGTCACTATATATTCGCTGTGTTCGCTGCCGGGCCTCTCGGCGCTTGCTTCGTGTTCTTGGTGCCGCTCCGCGGGTTCGCGCCATTTTTGACGCGCTGAGTCTCGCCCCGCACCGGGCGTCGCTCTTTGCTGTGTTTCTCCTTTCGCAGGAGGCACGGCCTGCCCCTGTTTGCCCGGCGTCCGACCCGCTTCGCGCGCCTGCGAACCAAAAAGTACCCCCACTAGCCCATCCGACTGATGCCCCGACGAGTTGTCCGAAGCAGGGGTGTTGAGGAGAATGCAGTGGAATAAAGGATTGGGTAAGGCGTCGTACTTCAAGAGGGAGAGAATGGAGGAGAAATCGGAGGAGGAGCAAGAGGAGGATGAGGAGGAGGATGAGGAGGATGTTTGTTCACTGTCTCTCTTTACCGCCTTAGCCGCGGCGCCCGCCAGGTACCTTTTGCGCCGTGTCACATGCACTTATATTTCTTATGTTTTGCAGCACTTCAAGAACGCAACACGCGTAAGCGTAAGGTCTGGCCAACCTAAAGGAGGAGGAGGAGGAGGGAAAGAAAACGGAGGGGAAGGAGGGATTGAGGAGGAGGAACAGGCGGATGAGGAAATGGAGCAGGAGGAGGAGGAGGAGGAGGAGGAAACGGAGGAGGAGGAGAAGGAGGAGGAGAAGGGGGGGGAGGAAGAGTGCGAACATCAAGGCCATATGCTTCTTAAATGCCAATCGGAATATCTTCGGATTTCTATCAAGAGGTTCTTGGAGTCCTCTTGAGGCGTCTTAGGGGGTCTCTTGGCAGTTCCAGGGGTCTCTTGGGGCGTATTGGGTGACTCCGGGGGGGTTTGGGGGAGCCTCTTTGGGGCATCATGGGGGCCGCTTTGGGGCGTCTTTGGACACCCTTGGGAGCCTTGGAGGCCTTTTGGGAAAGATCGATCAAAAGAGGGGGGGTCCTTTCTTAAGCCCCCCCCATAGGATGCCAACACGTAGCAAAAACATTAGTGCGCCTTGGGGCGTCTTGAGTGACTTTGGGGGGCCTCTTGGAGGTCTCTTGGGCACCTCTTCGGGGTCTTTTGGTGGTGGCCTCTTGGGGCCTCCTGGGCACCTCTTTGGGTCGTCGTGGGGCACCCATGGGTCGGGGGCCATCTTGGGGCCATCTTGAAAGAGATCGATCAAAGGAGAGGGGCTTCTTAATCAGGGCCCCCCTCCCAGGAGGCCATCATGTGGCCCAAACCTTCGTGCAATCAGTAAGTTGGGCCTTTCGCCGAGGCCTCTTGGGGCGTTTTGGGTGCCTCTGAGGCTCTTGGGGACCTCTTGGGGCCTTCTGGGCCCCTCTTGGGGCCATCTTGGGGCCCTCTTGGGGGGAATCGATCAAAAGAAGGGGCCTCCCCAATGAGGCCCCCTTCCCCCCAATGAGGCCAACATGTGGCCCAAACCTCCATAAGGTCAGTCAATGATGTTGGCTTCCTCGTCGAGGTCACCTTGGACGCTCCAACGTCTCGCGAAACGCCCCGTCCATGGGTGGGGGTCCAGATAGCAAGCCGTCTAGTTCAGTCCAACCCGCCCTCCCAACACAGAAGTAACACCCGAGCCTCAGCATGTTCAGCGGTCGTCTTTGGATGGGCAGCTACTGGGTACCAACGCCGAGCTCATGTGCTCGACGCTGGGTTAATGTGCGCCACGCTTGCCAGGCGCGCCACGCGCGCCAGGCACCCTTGTGGCCAGAGCGTGTCAGACACGCCAGATGCGCCAGATGCGCCACGTGCCTCCGCGTGCGTCAGGTGTGCCGCATATTCCAGCCGCGCCGGGGGCGCCACGTTCGGGGCACGTGCAGAGTGTGTCGGGTGCGCCGGCGCACGTGACAGCACACAACGGGAATCATGTCGGTCCCCGGGGCGGGTTGCGCCAGGTGTGGCAGGCGCGCCACGCGCGCGAGGTGTGCCAGGCATCCCTGTGGCCCAAGCTTGCGGGGTTTGCCAGTTTGTCTGGTGCGCCAGATGCGCCACGTGATCCACGTGCGCCATGTGTTCAGCATGTTCCAGCCGTGCCAGTTGCGCCACGTTTGGGGCACGCGCAGAGTGTGCCAGGTGCGCCTGCGCACGTGGCAGTGCACATCGGGAAACGTGTCGGCCCCCACCACCCTAGGTGGCCATCATAGCGTCTGGTGGTCCTCAACATACCAGGCAATCTGCCAGCACCCGTGCCGTTCCAGTCGAACGCCAATGCACAGTAATCGTGTGGTGCCCGCGCACGATTCAAATTTAGCCGCGAAGTCTAGCTTGTATGGTGTTTTGATGGGATGGTCGCCCTGCGCACAGCAGGCAATATGTTGACACCACCACCGTCCCTGTCAACCAAACAACACAAAGTGCTCGCGCCCCCCCGATCATGACCCAAGATTTTGCTCCAAAGAAGATTTTTCATAGTCTTTTGACTGGGACGGTGGGAGGGGGTGTCCTCATTGGTCCTGGCTGGGTGCCAGTCGCCTGGGGGAGGGAGTGTTTTTCAATATGGAGCAGTGGTAAACCCTACCCCGAACGAGGAGGAGGTGGGTTGGAAAAGGGGGCGCTCTAAACCACTCGCGCCGTGCGAGAGGATGAGGGTGATAACGGGGCGATCATCATAACAGCTGGAAGAGTGGATGGAGCAGGCGAAGCTCATGAAGGCGATGGAGGATGAAGAGGGAGGCGGGCTGCAATGAGGAGGCGGAAGAGGGGGAGAAGAGAAGGCTGAGTCTGAACTCGTCCTCCTCCGTCCCACTCCCTGCTCATCCTTGGCACCATCCTCCTTCTCACCCACCGAAGCCCTGACTGACTTGACGCAGCGATGCGCAGCGATCCCTGATCTTCGACGTCGCGCGGCACCCGCTACCCGCGGGGCGGACGCAGTAATCGCATCGGCGACGAACCCACGCCGTAGCTTGGACTTGGAGGGAGGAAAGGGGGGAGAGGAGGACTGGCTACACAGGGAAGGCGGGAGAGGAAGAGGTAAGGCGCGCCGGCTATCCTACATCCTCCTCCCGCAAGGCAAGGCCCGGTCGAGTCGAATCGGTCCGCAAGCGGACGTGGGCAGAGAATTATAGGCTCGTGTGGGCGAAAGAGAATTAGCATGCGGAGTTGACCTCAGAAGTCTTGCGCGTAGCCCTCGGCCTGCGCACGCCATTTCCTCCGGTCTCGAGCAGCGACATGCTGGACGGCCTCGTCCACGGCCTGCCTTTGGATAGGTGGCGGGCGGGATCCAACAGTTGTCGGGTTTCTGTCCAAGCCGGTCGGCGAAAATGTGTTGCAGGTGGGCCAACCGTTGCCGCCAATTCTGAATTGGGCAGCACAACAGAGCTTTGTCGACCTGGTTGTTCATTCGACGCATCGTGATGTTCCAGTCTTAGTTGTCAAGCCGCACCCAGCCCACAATCAAGGGCAGCATGCGTCGTTGCAGAACGTCAAACTGCTCCTTCTGGCGCATCGTTACGGCAAGCGTTGGCGAACCGAACAGCACCGTCGGCGTTACGACTGAATCGAAGAGCTTGAGGCGGCGACGGACGGAAATCTGCTTGTCGGCAGGAATACTCCGCCGCTCATGGAACTTGCCCTAAGCGGCCTGGAACCAGTGCGACAACTCAACGTCAGCGCGTTGACGCAAGGACCTTGGCACTTTCCTTCCCAAATATAAATGAGTATCGCTGCCGAACAGAACTTCGACCATGTCGTCGCCGTCTCGACGTACGCCGACCCAGGAAGGTTTTCCGTCGCCAGGACTTTCGTTGTCGCGGCATTGAGGTGCAGGACAACTCGGCTGAGTTCGACGCACACGGACTATCATATTGCACAGTTCGCTGCAAGATGTGGCATAAACAATATGATCGTCGACGTATCGGCAACTGGTGAGCTTCTCGCTGGACACGCCGCCCACGTCAATTTCACGATTGCCAAGAGAGAGCTTCCACCCAGAGAGTGCGAGCTCCAGGCCGGCGCTGAACAGCATGGGGTTGATGACGTCCCCCTGCTTGGCATTTCTGTTGATGCCGAAGCGCCGCGAGCCTTGCGCACGCCCCGTCTGATGATTGTACGGCATCGCCAGTAGAGCTATGTACGATTGACCCACGCCTTGCACGCGCAAGGCCGCGAACAGAGCAGGATACCATTCAGTCGAAGGTTTTTTCCAGATCAAGGTTTGCAACCCAATTCCACGCCATGGCTTTGCCGCACACATTCTCTAGCACGGCGAAAGCGTCATTGATTGAGTGTTGCTTCCGGAAGCCTACGCGGTGTGGTGGCTGCTTTGCGTCAAGGTGCCTTCTGGCGCTTTCGTATACCAACTTTGAGAATATCTTATACGTTGTCCGCAAGATGGCGATGGGTTGCCAGTTGCCGGGTTTTTCTCCCGTCTTTTTTTTCCGGAGGCATCACAAACAGCGTGTTGTGCCAGCTCAGATCAAAGGCGCTCGTGTGCAGGATGTTGAGCATGGTCAGCCGAAGTTTCAATACTGCGTCGGATGCGTACGTGAAAATTGCGACCACTCAGCCGTACTCGTCCTGGCACTTCGGGCAACGCATCTCACGCAGAGCGTATTTGAGCTCGCCCATGCGGAACTTGAGGACATCCTCGAACCCCCGTTGCTGGCATCGCTGCATATATTCAGCCATCGAGTGGACGCCTGCGTCGCGCACCCAATGAGAAGCAACAGTATCAGCAAACCTATCTGCAAATTGTTGCGGCGAGGCGTCCGCCGATGAGTCCTGCCACTTGCTGCGCACGGGAAGGAAGCGCAAAAAGTTTCATTGATCCAGTTCGTTGAACTCCTGGATAATATGTTCTGACTTGTTGTTCCTGCACCGCCGAATATTTTCAGCCCTGTCGTTCCTGCCCGCCTCTTCCCATTTCCCTCCTCCTGCTCCTCGTCCTCCCACCTCCTACCCATCTCTTCGTCCTCCTCCTTCACGATATTCCTCTCTCCCTCGTTTTCGCCCCAGTTCGGGCAGAAGTTCGCTGCTGCATGTGTGCCTTCGCTTCTTTCGCGGGTGTTTCTGGTGACGTGTAGATAAAGTGGAAGGAGCCACGGTCGAAGGTTCGGAAGAGTATATCACGGAAGATGATTACCTCTGGCCACCCGACGGACTAGACCCGACCCACCCGCCGCTCCCGTGGGTCTGGAATTCTTTTGAATTTGCTCGATGTAGTCCCAACCCATGGGTTCGCTTGGTGGGCTGAGTCCAGTCTGTCTGGTGGGCACTCAGACTGGGAAGAGGAGGAATAGGAATTGGCGGATACGAGAAGAAGGCTGAGGATATATCGGTCGCGGACATTGAACAAAAACGAGGAGAGCCGAAGAGGATTAGGGCGTGAGGAGGAACATCCAGCCCACCAGCCCAGCCAGAAAAGATGCCCAGGTGAATCGCCCTTACCAGCGATGTGGAGGAGCACGCAGTGGAACACAGGGTCGAACAAGCCGTCATACCCCAAGAGGGGGAGGATGGAGGAATCGGAGGAGGAGGAGGACGACGACGACGAGGAGGAAAAGGATGAGGAGGAGGCAGTAAGGGAGGTGGACGGGGAGGAGGGAGCAGGAATGAGGAGGAAGAATCGGCGCATGAGGACTAGGAGGAAGGGATCAAAAGTGATAGAGGCCTCTTGGATCCCTCCATGAGTCTCTGTGGATGTTTCTTGACAGCTTCTTGGATTAGGGTGTCCTGGGGGGTTCTTGGCGGTCCCGGGGGCCTTTTGAAGCGTCTTGGGTCTTGGGTGTTGAGGAGCATCATGGCGCTTCTTGGGGGTTTCTTGGAGACTGTTTGGAAGCTGTTTTGGGCCTCCTGGGCTCCTCTTGGGGCCCTCTTTGGGCACTCTTGGGAGCCGTGGGGCTCATCTTTGGGCCTTCTTGGAGGAGTTCGATCAAAGAAGGGGGATATCTAATTAGCGACGCTCCTCTAGAGCCCCTAAGCTGGTCTCGTAGGCCTTTTGGGGGGGCGCTCTTGGAGCGCCCTTGGGGGCTCATTGGGCCGAGACCCTCTGGGGCTCGTCTTGGGGGCATCTTGGGCCTTATTGGAGCCATTTTGAGACGTCCGAGGGTCACCGAAAGCGAACAGGCGAGATGGCAACCACAATTAATCCAGCGACCGTCCCTCCGACTTCAGCTCCCAAGTTTCCGACTCCAGCTCCCTACTTTCCGACTTCGGCCGAGTTCCGAGTTCAGAATTGGGGCGCCCCGGCGAGCCGTTCCCTACACGGGACGCCCTCTGGGCGACATCGGCGCCGCTCCGCTCCGCTCCGTAGGTTCTTGCAGGATTTGTTTCGGCCATTTGGTGGCTTCCATGGGAGGCTTCGTGGCCACGTGGAGCCGTCTTGAGGTGGTCTTGGGCCTCGAGGGCATCTTGGGCTTTCTGATGCCCTCTAAGACTTACCTTGGGCCAACACACGCACTCTAACTACCCGCTGGGCGCCACGTCCAGGCCCAGGGGAGGGAGTAGGGGGAGGGGTCAAGACACCCATCTCGCCCACTCCCACACGCCCTCCCAACACAGAAGGAGCACCCGAGCCGCAGCGTGTTCAGCGGTTGTTCGTGGATGGACAGCGAATGGGAACCAAACCAAAACCCATGTGCTCAACGCTGGGGCGAGGTGCGCCAGGTGTGGCAGGCGCGCCACGCGTGCCAGGTGTACCAGGCCCTCCTGTGGCCCAAGCGTGCCGGGCTTGCCTGGTGTGCCAGATGTGCAACGTGATCCACTTGCGCCATGTGTGTTGCGTGCTCCAGCCGCGCCAGTTGCGCCACGTTCGGGGCACGCGCAGAGTGTGCCAGGGGCGCCTGCGCACATGGCAGTACACATCGGGAAACGTGTCGGCCCCCACCACCCTAGTGAACAACCAGTGCGCAATCGTGACGGGGTGGCCATCACAGCGTCTGGTGGGCCTGAATATGGTAGGCAATATACCAGCACCCCCACCGTTCCAGTCAAAAACCAATGCACAGTGATCGTGGAGTGCCCGCGCATGATCCAGATTTCGTTTCGAAGTGCATGCTGTATAGCTTTTGTTGACTGGGATGCTAGCCTTGCGCGCATGCTCGTGCCACCCCCGATCACGACACACTATGATACCCCAAAGTGGATTTTACATTGTTTTTTGATAGAGATGGTGGGGGGTGGCCTGCACTGGTCCTGATTGGCGCCCGTCGCCTGGGGGAGGGGGTGTTACCCCAAGAAGCTAGCCGTGTCGCTCACTCCCACCCGCCCTCCTTGCATATAGGCAGCATCCGAGCTTGGGGCCCCGATCTCACTGAGTCTACGAGTGCTGTCGGCAGCGCAGTGTCGAGCATCTACTGGGAAAGGTGGAGCCCGAAGCACCAGCACCAGTTCACAAATTGTTACTATGGGAAGCTGCTTGACGGAGCAGAATGCGGAACCCGTTGTTTTATCTTGTGTGTTTTTGGGCACTCGCGCATGGTCCAGATTTTGCCGCAAAGTGCACTTTGAAACATTTTTCTGTTGTCAGGGAAGGTGGACCTGAATGAGGACATCTCCGCCGTCTCTGTCAGTTAACAGTGCAAAGTGATCACGCGGCTCTCGCGCATGATTCAGATTTTGCCGCCAAGTGCAGGTTGTATCGGTCTTGTCAGGGATCGTGAGCCTGCACTGCACAGAGCAGTCAATATGAGGGCCCCTCCCCGGCGCCGCTTCTGTCAAACATCAATGCAACATGATCGCGGGGCGCCCGCGCATGAACCAGTGTATTTTGTTGTGCGTGTGCGTGTTGACAGGGATGGTGGGCCTGCACAGCGGACATTTTGATGGCACCGCCGCCGCCGCTGTCAAACACTTATGCAAAGTGATCATGGTGCGCCTGCGCACGGTCCAGATTTTGCATTTTCGCAGGGATGGCGGTGTGAGTGCGCATTCTCCTCTCAGCCGCTGGCTTGGGGAGGGAGTTAATTTCGAATGCAATGAATATAGATCAGTGATGAAACCCTCCCCGAATGGGAAGAATGGGAGGATGGAAAAGGAGTCCCGCTGAACCACCTCCGCCCAGAGGGCTGGTGGGACCAGAAAGCGGGGGACTGGGAGGAGGACCGGGAAGAGGAGGAGGAGGAGGATGAGGAGGAGGATTGGTAGGATAATGAAGAGTAGAAGGAAGAGGAGGAGGAGCACGAACACGGCGAGGACGTGGAGGAAGAGGAGGGGAATGAATACGAACGAAGGACGTGAAGGAGGAGGAGGAAGAGGAGGAGGGCGACGAGGGAACAGAGGAGAAGGCTGACGACCACGAGCATGAGGAGGACTAGGACGAGAGCGAGGACAAGGAGGAGGGGCTCCGCCCTTGCAGCGGCCAGTCTTGGGGCACCCGCCCGGCCAGATGGCGCGGCGGTGCGGATCGCCTGGGTACGTTGCGCCAGAGGTGGGGCTTGCCGTCTCTCTTTCTCTCTCCTTCTCTCTCTCCCTCCTTCGGGAGGAGGGTATCGAGTGCACGCAGAGGTGGGTTTAGCCCAAGGTTTGGTCAGAGAGCGAACCCAGCTTGAGGCTGCTGGAGAGCTGCCCTGCGACGATAACCGCGCTTCGCGCATCCCTTCGCGCATCTCTGGGCGCGATGTGCGAAATTCGGTGGCCCAAGTGCAGATAGGGAGCCAATGCAGAGCACGCAATGGATGTACGCGCAGAAGCTGGAGTACATCAACTCATGGACGCCCGTCGTGATGCAGGGTATGGTGGCACACTTGATAGCGCGGGCCCCAAACAATACTTTTTATGGTTCTCGATGGGGAATTCATGTGGTGCAAGTATGTGGTGCAATACATGTGGTCTAAGCTATGGGGTAAAGCCGATGCAGCGCATTTACTTGTAACTCCACTGCTCGTGCAGACATCCCACCCACCCATCCGCAAATTGTCTGGTAAAGCCCTGGCGCCGCTGATGCGACGGCGATGGCGCTTACCGGTGGGAACTTCGGCGCGTCTCAAAAGCTACGGTGGCACGCGGGCATTCTGTGCGGGTCGGTGGTTCGGGCGGGTGCGGTGTCATGGTGACGTCGGCAACGGCGGCAACGGTGACGATGACACCAGTGGTGGTGGCGATGATAACGACGGCAACGACGGTAACGCCAATCACGACTTCCATGCCGGTGACGACGATGGGCGATAATGATGGCCATGCGCCGGTGATGAATCTGATTGTGAAGAGGGGGGGGGCAATGGCGGCGACTGGCGATGCCGAGAACGGCCTTGATGCGATTGCGCTGGTCAGGGTCACGAAGCGCGCGCGCATGAAAATTCAACACGTGAAGCAGGCTCTGTTGAACAACGAGTGGATTTTTTTTGAACAGCTCGATCTTGACATGCTTCGAGAAGGTACGATTTTGGAAAGATTGCGACACGCGCGCGCGCGACGGCGCGCCCATGTGGCCACCTTAGTTGAATGTGATTCGGATTCGTGCACGCACTGGGCGCATGCCAGATCAACGCGGTGGAGACGTGTGATGAGATTGGAATACAGGCGCTGGAAGAGACTGTCAACATCCAGCGGTGTTCTTGTGATCTCAGCACGTGCGCGCGGGCAAACCATTTGCAAAATTTGCAGTGAACAACTACGACGCTCTGATGTTCAATGTGTTGCATCATTCGTTGGGTGGTTTTGAAACCCGTTTGTCCGTCGATGTCTAGGAATCCAAGAATCTTGAAAACAAAATGCCATAAAAGACGCGGCCCAACAAAAAAGTTCCAACAAAAAACAAAGTCGATCAACAAAACAGTTCAAAAATCCGACCTCGATCAAATAACTGCATGAAAAAACATAAAAAAACAACATCCCCAACCAAACAATACAACACAACATTTGCCGCAATGAAAGCGTCACTTGCATCAAATCCTGATCTCCTGATCTGTTTCGATTGCAAGTGATGCTTTCTTTGCGGCCAATGTCATTATATATATATATATATATATATATATTGTGTGTGATGTTTTTATGGTTTGTTTTCGTAATGCATTTGTTTCATCGAGCTCGTTTTTCTGAAACTTTTTTTGATCGAACTTGTTTTGTTTGAAGCTCTTTTTTGGGGCCGCGTCTTTTTTGGCAGCTTTTTTTTCAACATGCTGGGAGCCCCAGCCATCGACACACAAACGGGTTTCAAAACCACGGGGGGCGGCCGGGAGGGGGCCAGCAGGCCTCGCGTCGCAATGCGTCACGACGGCGTTCTTTTTCTGGGCGGCGGCGTGAAGGCGCAAAGAGGACCGCGGGGCGCGATGTGCGATCGAGTGAGTGCGCAATGCAACGCGGGAAAACAGACTCTCACGCCGATTTGCGTTGTTTGCGACAGCTTTTCCTTGCAATATGACCTGGGGCATTTCTGTGCAAACGAGGCTAGAGGATAACCCCAATCCGACAATGCGATTGTTTCAGTTTTCATTGCGGAGGTTTCCCCCCCTTCCGGGTCCAGGACACGTTCAGACGGGATGCAACATGTTCCTTTGGCGGCGGCTTGGTGCTAGTAGCGCTGCGGTGCGAAACATCGCGCTGGCGGGCGTGCTGGGCGATTCGGCGCAGCGGCAGCAGGAGCAAGGGCGCCTGTCCTGTCCAGGAACGAAGTGTTTCGCAATCGGGGCCCCTGTGCCGATCTATCGGCGACGCGACGCCCGTTCCTGACTTATGTTTTGTGCCAGTGGCCGTTCTCGTGCGCTTTGTTAGATCATACGGCCCCCTGGCGAAGATAGATCCTGGGGGAGGGCTGGGGGGGCGCAGGAGGAGGGGAAGGATGAAAAGTAGGAGCAGCAGCAGCAGCAGCAGGCATAGTGCGGGGCGATCACGAGGGGGGCTTTGGGGTGGGAGCTTAGTTTTTGGAAGAGGACGGCAATCGAGCGTGGGCGGTAGCGACGCCAGGGGCTATGTTCAGAGACGCGCCAATGGCTTGTGTTGTCCTGACCAGTTGTCCAGATCTTCTGCTTTCGAGCCCTCGGTCAAGCCGCTACCGACCCCCTGTTCTGGCAGGTCGTTCATGGAAATGGTCAGTTCCAGTTTGCGACCTAATCGCTGTACCCCCCCCGCTTCGAAATTATGATACTATCGAAGACGCCTACGGCGAATCATCGCCGCCCCCTGCCTTTTCGGAGTCGCCCATGCGGCCGAACGTTGAGGCCAGACTTGCCAAGCTATCGGATCATCCCCGAATCGGTTTGGAAAGTCTTCGGGGAACACGTGGGCATCTTGAAGGTCCTCTTGGCCGCCTGGAGGCCAGTTTGACCCTTTCGGGACTTTTTGGAGGACGTCTGTGAGCGAAATTATGATATTATCTAGTCGCCGTCAGCCTATCCCGCCACCGCGCCAGGGTCGTGGGTGAGAGGCAGTGTTGAAGCCTTTTGTTGTCTCCTGGGTGCCTCTTGGGGCCTCTTGGGGGCCTCTTGGGGGCCCCCTGGGGGCCCCTTGGGGGCCTCTTGGGGGTCTCTTGGTGGCCTCTTGGAGGCCCCTGGGGCCTCTTGGGTGCCTCATGGGTGCCTCTTGGGGCTCTCTTGGGGCCTCTGGGGTCCTTTTGGGGGCCTCCTGGGTCGGGGGCCTCCTGGGTCGGGGGTCTCTTGGTGCGCGCTCGGAGTGAAGTTCAGGGGATGCAGCGGGGGACCTTAAGATACGCCCACTCCGTTCCGCAGGGCGCGGTGGCGTATGATCCCCCTGCAATCCCCGCCCGTTTCGGCCCAAACTGGCGAACCATTACGTTGGCCAGTGGGGCGCCATTCGTAGGCGGCGACAACGCACATGTCAGATCCAATATTTTCTCTCGCTCGCGGTGCTGCCGCAGAGTTGGCGCGGCCGCAGGTTGAGACAGCGGCAATTGGCCTTCGAGGGAGCCCCTCGTCGCCACGGCTGGACGCAGCGTGAAAAATGAAGACGTTTGGGCCTTGGGGGGGTCCAGGTACAGATTTCCGCAAACGATTTCGAATTGTCAGTGTCTCAACCCGCCGCGTTCCAATTCCTGCCGAGGGCGATGCTGACCCCCTCGACGAGTTCGCAGTCGCCAGGGCCGTTTCCGCTGCAGCCGAGCCGGCCAATAACTCATTCAGAAAATGGGTGGGCCGGTCTCGGCAAGCTGCAGGGCTCAGGGCGGCGGAGCGCGAACGCCGCGTGTCTGCCCAGGTCAGGAAGGCCAACGATCGTGCTGTGCGGCAGGTGGACCTCATCAAGGTTCCTGGATGTCGGACGCAGCGGGGACTGAAAGGCAGTGGGGCACATCGGCGGTGGACTGCCAAAGCGGTGCTTTGCACCGCTTTCGGGAAGATGCACGCGCAGTGGCGCCAGCGCATCAAGGCAGCGCGAGCGGGCCGCAAGCGGAAGGCCCGGAGCAGGCTTACGTCAGCAGTGGCGTCTTCCGCTCGGGCGGCAGCTGCGACCGCGGATGGATCCCATGGGCATGTCCAGCGAGTGCGCGACGCAGTCAGCCATCTCCTCATGACAGGCCAGCGCCAGGGCATCTCTCAAATGCTCCAGCTGCGACCGTCGTTCGCTGTGCTCGAGGTGAGGTTCGATGAAACCCACCACGAGATGAAAGTGCCCAGGTGTTCCGAACACGACAGCGGTGTTAGTTACGAAGCTGGGCATTACCCCTTTGTTATTATCAAGGGTTCGTTATCATGGTCCCCGCAGGGATCTCGCCAGATCGCCCGCCAAGAATTGGTGATAAGTCCAATTGCTTTGTCCGAGAGCTGCACTGCAGAGAGCATGTGGGCCGCGCTGCGCAACCGTCTGCCCGTTTCGTGGGAAGAATTCTTGGCGTTTCACGCGCGTCCGCCGCCCCGCCCAACAGCGATGCCCACGCGGTTTGCCCTGATCGCATACGTTGGGGAGTCTACAGGTGGACGGCAGGGGTTGGCACGCCGTTGCGCCCGCAGAGGAGGAAGGGGAATAGGAGAAAGACGAGGATTACGAGGAGGAGGAGGAGGAGGAGGAGGAGGAGGAGGAGGAAAATGAGGACCACGAGCAAGGCCACGAGGAGCATAATAAGCAATATTAATGAATGCGGCGATGATGGTGAGGAGGAGGTGGGAGAGGAGGAACGCGAGCAGGATGGGGCGGGGGGGGAGGGGGCGGAGGAGGAAAACTGACATGGGAAACAGGAGGAGGAAGTGGGCTTGGCGGGGGGCGGGGGGGGGGGCTAAAGCCTGAAGGAGGATGACGCTTAGACGTATAAGGGGGTTCGGCTGGAGGAGGAGGGTCGGCGACCAAACGGGCCATGGGCGCATGGATGCGTGCCTGCGTCGTTTTGGGATTCTGCTGCGTAGATGTTGGGGGCCTCTTCGGACGTTTTGGGGGGTCATGGCGGCCTTCGTTGGGTTTGGGGGGCGCCTTGGGCGCCTCGGAATAGCGTACTTGTGCCTCTTAGGTTTTTTTCGGCGGTAAGGGGGTGGCGGGGGCCTGGGGAAAATTTCTGGGTTTTCGCAGATTGTTTTCGATCTCGTCCGGGATTGCCGGAAGGGGGTTTCCGACGGGACACGACAGAAAGGCGCGCTCGCGAAATCGAATTGCGCCTCCCTCCCAGGACATCAGGGGCCGTCATTCGAGGCGCCTTGAAAGTGTTGCGAAGGCCTTGCGGCCAGTGCCGCCGACCCTGAAGAAGACGAGTATGAACGCGAGGGGGAGGAGCAACAGGAGGAGGAGGAGGAGGCAGAGGAGGAGCAACAGGAGGGAAATCAATGGGGGGATGAGGAGGAGGAGGAGGAGGAGGAGGAGGAGGAGGAGGAGGAGGAGCAAGAGGAGGAGGAGGAGAGAGGAGGAGGAGGAGGAGGAGGAGGAGGAGGAGGAGGAGGCAGGAACAGGAGCAGGAGCAGGAGCAGGAACAGGAACACGAGCACGAGCAGGAGCAGGAACAGGAGCAGGAGGAGAGGAGGAGGAGGAGGGGAGGAGGAGGAGGAGGCGGGGGAGGAGGAGGAGGGAGGAGGAGGAGGAGAGGAGGAGGAGGAGGAGGAGGAGGAGGGGAGGAGCTGGAGGAGGAGGGAGGAGGAGGAGGAGAGGAGGAGGAGGAGGAGGAGAGAGGAGGAAGAGGAGGAGGAGGAGGAGGAGGAAGAGAGGAGGAGGAGGAGGAGGAGGATGAGGAGGGGGAGGGGGCGGTGGCGGGAAGGGCGGCGAGGAGGAGGGGGGCCGCCTTGAAAGTATGATTTGGGGCCTTAGGCGTGCGCGAAATCGAGCACGGTGTGGGTCGTCAGTTCGGGCTGTCCCTCTAACCTGAAAGAGTCCATTGTGCTCCCTCGCGGCGCGTTCGCAATCGTCGTTGGGCAGCATTGGAGGGCCATTGGGGCATTCTGGGGCCATCTTGGGCCTCGGGCGACCCCTGAACATGTCGAGCCATCTTGGGCGTCATCACGCAGCCATCATGGCCCGGGCCACCGCGGGCGCGATGGCCGTTCGCGGCGCACCCCGTCCAGTCCCAATCGGGGGGGGGCCCACCCCGCGTGATGCAATATCGACAAACATATTGGATTGTACACGCTCCACAGCACTTGCGCCGAGAGGCCTGGCGGACTATCCGCATCTTGCGATTTAGTCGCGCTTTTATGCGCGCATGACAGTCATTCTGCGAATTTCAAGCTGCTGCGAGGGCTAATTGACGTGGTGCCCGAAAACGTCGTTGTCTTGAGTTCCCGATGCGGCATGCATCAACTCCAATTGACGCTGAGCCTGATGTACACGAACCCTTCGCTTGATTTTCACGGCTCTTTATTTGGCTTGTGCAAGCTATTGCACCACGGCGTCATAATGAAGCGGCTCCGGGAGTTACTCCATGCTGTACTCGACAGAAAGTTCAAGGTCGTTTACGCCCCTGTCGACCCTTTTGCGCAGGCATGGGCTTGGCAAGTGCTTGATCTCTGCTACATCCGAGGCGCTTTGGAAGACGAGGACGAGGAAACCTTGCAAGCTGCTTCTGTGTCTTACAGGGAGAAGGAAGCCCGCGAATTCGCTCGGGTCTTCAATGGCAACTGGCAGGACACACGCCCGGGCCACACTGTGCATCATTGCAGCATGGACTGCGATTGCGTCTCTGAGCGCGACTCGCTGGACAGAGCGCATGCGCAGTTAGATAAACTGATTCTCAATGGCCTCCCAGAGCTCGTTGCGTACAATAAGTGGACAAAGTACCAGGAACCGACGCGCAAGGTCGCACTTGCTCTTGCGTTCCATGGAATTTTTGCTGATGCTTTTGCAATGCTTGCGTCCGAGGCCGCAGACGAGCTGTCGGCGGTGAAGGACGACCAGCGCCAGGATATCCCAGGGCTTCGCACGTCCGAAGAGTTCCTCCGGCTGAAGCGCACCCGCTTCAACCACGCAGCTTCCTTCGTGACGTCCCCCCAGTCCCTCCCGAAGATGCTCCACTGTCTCGGGAGCGTGGGGTTGGCAGACCCGTTGGCGAGGATGTACTTCCACCAGTCGTCCGACGACATGCAGCATTTGCGTCCAGACTGGCAGGCGGGAGTGCTCAGTCCTATAGAAGATTTGGCGAACCGAGAGTATTCCCCCGCGATGAGGTGTCTAGACGTTCACACGAGAGCGATGTTGACGTTGCGGGAGAGACCACCACCCATGTCCTCTGCAATGCCGTGGTCTTTGCTGGCGAACACAAAGACCGTCGAGTGGCTGGAGGATCGAGACGGGATGCATATATATATATATATATATATATTTATATACAAATTAATAACAGTTATACACATTTGTATGTATTCAACCGCAGTTCTGCGCGAATGGGCGTCGGCGGCGCGCCGATGGTGCTGCGGGGTTGAGGGGCGAGGTTTCTGAGTTGGTAGGGCGTTTCTGGAATGCCCTCGGGTGCCGCAAACGGCGCGGCCCCAGGTTTTCTTGCAAGTCCCCTGCCATTTCAGACGCCCTGCCCCCACCCCTGGCCGCCTGGCCCCATCGGGGCGCCGCCGAAGTAAGTTTGGCTGCTATGTTATTTCCCGTGCTTGGCCTCTTGGGCAAAGGGGCGCCGAGGGCGCCTCGTGCTTTGTCGGCGGGGTCGAGCGCGGGGAGTTGCATCTCGGCCAACCGCGCTAATTTGCCAGGAGAGGGAGTTGGTCCTGGCGGGCGTCTTGCGGCAGATCGGCCATATATGGCATCGGCTGGTTTTGCATTACTCCCGCTGGCCATGGCGGCTCGCCGCCGTCGTGGACGCGCGCGTGCCTGAGGCCGAGCAGGCGTCCATCGCATGCGAGTTTTTCCATGCGAAGCCGTGCTGCATGGGCGCCGGCCTCTTGCCATTGCAGCGCCGCTTGCAGTCCTCTTCAGATATACTGTCCGCCGTGAACCGCCCCTTCCTGGAATGCATGTTCCGCTCCGTGCGAGCCCAAACGATTTCAGTGGAAGTCAGGTTTTCCCGGTCCAGGGCCCACAGCGCCAGTGCCGCTGGGAATTTGCCGTCCTTGTCGACACTCTGTTCCAACCACGTGATCAGCGAGGTGGCTGCAATGCACCACCAGTTGTTGGAGCTTTGCCAGGGGGGGCGCGCGAGGGCCGCGGAGGCGAAAGTCCCCGTCAGGTGATCCCGGTGAACCAATCGCATCCAGAGCACTTCCTGTGGTTTCGTGGGGCGCGGTCTTTTTGTTGCGTTGGGCAGGGATTTCTGCGCGATTTTGGAATAGCCCCCGCCGTCGTAAATGTCTGCCCAGGGGCCTCTCTGGCTGGAACGTGTTCCTGGCCAGCAAGCGCAGCAGCGGCGCTGCGGCCGCGGGGCGTCTGCCGAGCGCGTCTGCCAGCGCTGATTGGGCCGCCGCCGATTGCGTTCAGAAAGCAACCTTCGAGTTCAGGGCGCGATTGGAAACGGCCAGGAGAAGGCACGAGGCCTCGCGAACGCGAGAACTGGCCCAGCAGTCCATCGATGATTTATCGAGGCATGTGGCCGCGAGCTCGTTCTGGGGACTGGGTGACGAGCAGTACCCCTATTCGCTCGGCCTTCTCCAGCAAAACATGGACGACGCCCAGGCGGGGGTGAGGGGGGGAAACAGGGGCAGGCGGAGGGCGATGGGATGGGATGGGGAGGGGGGGGGTCGAAGGCGACTTGGCCGACTGGCTGGAACGTTCGACATTGGGCCCCCCAGCGGCCTGCCTGTCGCCCTGGAGGGCCGTCGTCCGAGGCGGGAACTTATCCGTATCCACTGCGTGGAGGGTTAGTTTTCGGAGCCTCGGCAGGCGGTGGGCATGGACACATTCGGACCCCATGGGGGCCGAAATATATCCATGCCCGCCGCCCGCCGGGGCACCGGGGCGTCGGTTCCCAGGAGGTGGATATGGGTAAATCCCCGCCTCGCACGCTGGGGGGGCCGAATTTTGGTTTCGAAACATTATGGGTTCGGGCTTGCGTTCTCGCGGATTTGTTCGGGGGTTGCCGGCGGGGCCCTGGCGGGGCTGGCGGAAGCAAGGCCGGGGGCGGGGGTGAGAGAAATGAGAAGCATGTGGTTGTTATTGTTTCGTTGGGGGGCGCGCAGGGCCGCAGAGAGAATCTCGTCCAGATGATGTCTGACGCCTGGCGCTGGGACAACGAGGACCCGTCCTGCCAGAACGTCCTGGACGCTCCTCCTTCCAACGTAGAGCCGCCGCGCGCACTGTGCGCGGACGTCTATGGGGTCTGCAGCTTGTCGCTCAGCGAAGCCGAGGTGAAGTCCATCGATGAATTCAGGCGAATCTTGGAGTCCATTGCTTTCCAGGTTGCGCACGAGCGTGCCGAGCGAGCCCCTCTGCTCTGGTTCGAGGCTCGGCGCTGGATGCAACGGTCGTTTCAACGTAGAGAGCGCGCGCGCGCGTCGCTTCTTCGGCGGGGATGTTTCGTTTTGAGGCAGGGCCCCGTGGGCCCGGGAAGAAAACAATCATTGCGGGTCCCCGCCCGCGAGTGCACCGCTGGCGGTTTGAAGGGGGCGTCGCCCAGCTCGACTTGGCGTGAGAGTGACCTTTCGCCGGAGTGACCTTTGGCGCGGGCATAGATGGGCCCCCTGATGGCCGAAAGAGAGGCGGCGGCAGCGGTTTGCGCGCTTGTTTTTGCCCCCCCCCCCCCCCCCCGCGGCCCCAACAAGCCGCGCGCCAAAGGTCACTCGTGCCCGGGGTCGCTCTTGCGCGTGGCCGACCAGCGCCCCGCAAATGCATTGTCGGGGCGCCCTTCAGGCTGTCGAGGGCGGGAACTCCATCGCCAGGGCGCTCGTTCTTCTCATCGCCGTCGGTGGCAGCCCGAGCTTCCAAGTTCACGCTGCTTGCAAGGTGGCCACCGGCGAGTTCCAGCCAGGCGCCCATGCAGCGAATGGTCCGGCGCCAGGCGCTCGACGCTCGGTGGAACTGCGCACTAAGGAGGAGGGCCGGTGGTTGATCCCCGACCTCATGACCACCCCGATGTTGGCATGCGAGATGGTCAAGTTGGCACCATCTCGCGAAGCGTGGTCGTGGGGCGCAGAGACGTACAGGCTGCATCATGAGCAAACGAACAATCACGCCTTGCGCCTGGACATCCCAGAGGTGACGGCGTTGGGCCCGTTCGCGCAGCAGGTTCGCGAAGCTTTTGGCGACCCCACAGTCGTTGCAGCACTGCGCGTTCTTCGCCCTCCCAAGCCTGCGCCGCCGTGCCGGCGGCCCCCTGCCAAGCGTCTTTTTTCTGGCATGGCGCAGGCCGAAGTTGCGGAGGATGTCGGCTTCGGCGAGGAGGGGGGCGAGGGCTCAGGCGCGCCCGCTCTGGAACCAGATGTGCACGGCGGCGCCCCCGGTCTGATGGACACCACGGTCGCCCACAACAAAGATGGCCTGCCCATTGGCTCATTCACCCATCATGGGCTGGACAAAACAATCTGTTTATGTTACTTGCACAAATGCCGTAGGACAGTTCCGTCCAAAAAGGCGACAGGCGATTTGATCGCTAATTGGTTGCGAGAGGGGGAACAGATAGAGGACGCGAAGGGCCAGTCAGCCCATCTGACATTATCCAGATGCTTGCGGCAAGCTCCGACAGCGCGGGCGGCCACGCAAGCCCTCGAGGGCCCAGGAGGGCTCGAAGAAGAACCAAACGGTCTCGACGTCGCCTCGAGAGGGCCCCCAGTATGGCCCCGACAGGACCCCAGCAGGTCACGCCAGAAACGGCGCTTTCCGCCCTGGCGCTCTCGTGGCCTAGCGTCGTTCCAGTGCCCCCCAAAGAACGCCATGGGAGTCTCTGAGGGCCCACAAGGGTTCCATGGTGGGCCAGGAAGGGTCTTCGAGATTTCCCAGAGGGTCCGAAGATGGTTTCCAGGGCTACAGCAGGCCTCATCAACACTCACGTTTTGATGAGATCGCCCCGGCTTTAGCCGAAGATACGCGACGACGTTCCACTAGCTACCAAAGAGTGCCAGAATGCCACACAGGAGTGGCCCGCAGTTCTTGAAGGTCCTCATTGGGAAGCTTCTTGAAGCTGCTGGCGGGATTTTGCGAAGCCAGAATCACGCGCCCCAGAAGGGCGGCGATTTTCCAACGGCGCGTGCGACGAGGGGGCCCCCAGGGTCGCCCCTAGAAAAGCATTCCAACAGGGGGGCATAAGACGTTCTACCGCGCCCCAGCATGCCAAGGCACGCTGGTGGATTGGATGCCATGCTTGGCCATGACATGGATGGCGCGCACCCGTCAGACGTCGCTGGCGGAGTTGCCCCCGAGGCAGGGGGGGCAGAGGCCGACGCAGCTCTCGTGCCGCCGCCCCCGCCCCCGCCAGCGGGTCGGGCGAAGCCGGGCGATCGTTTTTTCAGTATGTTCGGCCCTTTCAAAATCAACGAATTAGCTTCGATCTCCCGGGAAACAGGCCTGTGCGTTCGAAGAGGATTCAGCCTGGTGTGCGGCCGACACGAGGATTTAGCTGGCGACGACGAGTGCAGTTCCGACTGCACCTTCGGAACCACCGTTCGAGCTCTCTCCGAGGAAGAGGTGCTGCTCCGCCTTAAGCGGTGGGCGGTGCTAGGATTTTCAAAGGACGGGCACGTTTTGGCCAGGACAGCCCACATGAAACACATCGGCCCCGCGCGCAAATGCAGCGCGCCGCTGTCGGCCGAACAGTTGGCCGCTGTGCCAGAAGGATTATTCCTAGCGGGTGATTTGGATGGCCTGTGGGTTGAGTGGCTTGCGAGAAAGCCGAGACTCGTTTTCATCTGGTCGTTGGGTCTTCGCATGCCCCCCGTCGTTCCTCATCTGCTCTCACCCTTTCCCATCATTTCCTCTTCTTGTTTCTGGTGGCGATAGCGCTGCTGGAGGTGAAGGAGGATTGGCGCGCTCTCTATAGGTTTACCTGATACTAGTTTTACGAAGCGTTGCCAAAGCCCTGCCAAGTCTGTTGGATGGCCGAAGCCCGGAGCCAGAGGCAAGGTGGGGCCGAGCCCACGGCGTGGCCCTTCGCCGTCGTGGACCGAGCCCTCGGGCTCCGGCGTGACTTCAACTGGATGAGCGATGAGGCGGTGGAGGACGAGTAGGAGGAGGAGGGGGAGGAGGAGGAGGAGGAGGAGGAGGAGGAGGAGGAGGAGGAGGAGGACGAGGAGGACGAGGAGAAGGAGGAGGAGGAATTGGAGGAGAGGAGGAGGAGGAGGAGGAGGAGAGGAGGAGGAGGAGGAGGAGGAGGAGGAGTAAACTTGCTGCTGGATGCTGGCCCTTGTTGGTTTCTTTCAAAAAAACGAGGTGCCCAGAGAATTGTTGAAAACGCTGTTTTCGACACTTCTCTGGGCCCCCCGTGTTTTCTCGGGTCAACTTTCTGCCGGGTGCTGGCCTTCGCTGGTTTCCTTGAGAAAAAACGGCGTCGCCGCTGTTGTTTTCGTCGTCGTCTCAGGCGAAACGGCCCGGGCCACCCATTTTTTGTGAGGAGCCCCTGCTGGGCGTTCCCTGGGCTGGGACTATTTCTACCACAACAATCTATCAACCGCAATTTCTCTCGCTGGACACCCTGGACTTCCAGTTGGACGCCCTCGACTTCAACCACTCTCGCAGCTCAGGGGGAGGAGGAAAAAGGAGGAGGAGGAGGAGGAGGAGGAGGAGGAGGAGGAGGAGGAGTGTTAGGAGAGGAGGAGGAGGAGGAGGAGGAGGAGGAGGAGGAGGAGGAGAGGAGGAGGAGGAGGAGGAGGAGGAGGAGAGGAGGAGGAGACGCGCGCCTCAAGAGGAGTAGGGAGGGGACGCGCGCATCAAGGGGGAGGTTGAGGAGGAGGGGAGGAGGAGGAGGATGAGGAGGCGGAGGAGGAGGAGGAGGAGGAGAGGAGAGGAGGAGGAGGAGGAGGAGGAGGAGGAAAAAGGAGGAGGAGGAGGGAGGAGGAGGAGGAGGAGGAGACGCGCGCCTCAAGGGGGACGACGGGGAGGGCGCTCGTGAAATCCAGGGGAGGGCCAAACCAGGCACAAAGGCGGGGGCCCCCACTGGCATGGCCCTGGGGCTTCGCCGTCGAAAATGGGTTGCGCGGCCCGCCCCGACGGCCCCAACCGGGGGGGGGCTTGGGCGCGTGCCCAGGGCGCGGGACACCTGTGTGATATGTGTTTTTATCTCACGGGCCTCGGCGCCCCCGATGATGATGATGATGATGATGATGATGATGATGATGATGATGATGATGATGATGATGGTGATGATGATGATGATGATGGTGATGGTGATGGTGATTATGATGATGATGATGATGCTGATGCTGATGATGGTGATGGTGCTGATGCTGATGCTGATGCTGATGCTGATGCTGATGCTGGCGATGATCCTGATGTTGATGCTGATACTGATGTTGATGCTGATGCTGATGCTGATGCTGCTTCTGATTATGATTATGATGATGATGATGACGAGGATGATGATGATGATGATGATGATGGTGGTGATGGTGATGATGATGATTATGATACTGCTGATGATGATGATGAGGATGATGATGCTACTGCTGCTGCTGCTGCTGCCCCCGATCGTCTGACGGGTGCCCGGTGCCCTTTTTGACCTCCAAGTCGACAGCACAAGGGCACAGGGC